TGTAGGGAAGGACAGGCTGTCCTCTGCGAAGGGTTGCCCTCACTTCAGCCAGGGCACCTGTTTATTTATTCAGCCAGCACAATAAACACAAAAGTGTCTTCTCTGTGCCACGGTCATGCTGGAAACGGGGGGCACAGAGATGATCTTAGGAAGCCACCTGAAAAAACAGGGAGGAGGCCATGTACTCTGGGAGAGACCACACAGTGTGATGGATGCAATGATGGGAAAGTGGAGAGCAGTGCTTGAACGATGCATCCATTCACCTGGGGGTGAGGGGAAGAGTCAGGAGAGGCTTCCTGGAGAAGGTGATGCCTGGAGGATAGGTAGAAGTCAGCATCTGTGTGTGCGCGTGCGTGTGAGTGCACATTGGGCATGGGAGGGTGGAGGAGAAGGTTCTAGACGAAGGTTACCCTTGTGGGATGGTTTCGGGGAGAGACGGGCTGGATGGGGAAGTCCCTACTTGAAAAGCCCCTCTTCACACCCTCTCCCTTCTCTTTCTGACAAAATTCGAGGCAGTGTTGGCCAGAGTGTTACATAAAGCACAGCAGAGTTGGCAGACATGGGCCAGGTGGCCAAGAGGGTGATGGTGGGAGGTTTTTGGGGGGATGTCATCTTGCATTTTCCTAGTCATAACCTTCTCTGTCTTGCTCCTAGGACTCCTGAACCCCAAAAGCTGGTTCTGCACCCCTGACTTGCCCAGAAACTGTTCTAGCTGCTGGTACAGAAGGGTAGGGGTCTGCAGGATGGTAAAAGTTGCCTTTTAGAGGAATGAAAATCAATGAAATTACTCAAGGGAGCGCTCTCTGTCTTGCCTGTGGTGCTAGGCAACGAGAAAAACCGCCTCTTGGTTTGTATTCAATTATTAAGTAGCATCATTCCATTAGCAATATTAAGTGGCTATAATTTAATCTCATTAGTTGCACTTTCTGCTGAGGATTTTATTTTCCGGAAGCAACAGCGATCAGGCACGGATGGTTATTTTCTGTGAAGGGTGCAGAGAGATGGGCAGCTGGACAGGAACTCGGAAGCAAGAGCCCCAGCCTCCAGCCCCTCTCCCAGAGCCGCAGGCTGGGCAGCCCCTGCAGGCCTCAGTTTACCCCAGTTCCTCCTCCTCGATGAAGCCGCTCTCGTCTTTATCCAGGATGTGGAATACCTTCTTCACGTCATCTGGGCTCTTTTTCTTCAGTCCGACCATTTGGAAGAATTTTTTGTGGTCGAAGGAGTCGACAGCTGTGGGGGGGTGGGGGTGGAGAGAGGGGGTGAAAATGAGGACAGACAAGGGGCCTGGGGAAGGGTAGGAGAACGTGGATGTCACAGCACTTTGATCGCCTCCGCAGGGCCAATCCTGTGGGAAAGCGGGGGCACACCTCTACGGGAGGGCTGAGGGAGCCCAGGCCAGGCGAGGGGGCTTGGCCCAAGGTCGCACAGTGGCACAGGTGGCCTTGCACCCAGATCACCCTGGCTCTCCAACCGGACCCTACCCTCCACTGTACCCTTCACTAATGGTGGGGGTAGCATTTGAAGGCAGGGGGGCTTCCTGGTCTCCATGAAGCCTTTTGGGTGGCGGCTGAGTCGGGGTGGGCAGGGGAATTGGAGGCGGTGGGAACATGATGTGTGTATGCTGCAGGGGAGAAGGGAGGGTCAACCTTTTTCTTGGTCATAGATTGTGTCGCCAGAAAATCAACACAGAGAGGACAAGTTTCTCTCAAGGTCACACAGTAGGAGAGGGAAGGGGACGACCCAGAAGTTCCGGCTTTGCTGCAGAAATCCATTCTGGTGGGAATGGGGGCGGGTGTTGGAAGGCTCCCCAAGAATTCCCAGTTAGGTTTCTTCTCCGAGGGAGCAAGATGGGTCAAGGAGAAGTGGGGTGGGGGGCTGTCCCAGGGCCCGGGGAGGGTGGCTTCCCAGAGTTTCTTCATGCCCAGGGGAGGGGTTGCCAAGAGAAAGGAAATGGGAGCCCTCCTCCAATTTTCTGTGTCCCGAGCTCCTTTTTAAGGACACCTGAGAAAGGAAAAACTTTAGACCAAGTAACTTATGTGTGTGGGACGGGGGTGGCGGGGTAGGGGCGATCCCGCGAAAACTCACTGTTCCCTCCCTGGGCTGGAGGGGAGGAAAGCTGCTCTGTCCACCTCAGACACTAGATAGGGGAGGGGTGGCGTCGGCAGGGACAAGATCCGGAGGTGACCGCGTGCTAATTCCTCTGCTGCCCTGCCAGGTGACCTTGGGCAAGTTTCCAGCCCTCTCCCTGCCTCAGTTTCCCCATCTGGGTGACAGGAGGGAGAAGGAAGGTAAGCAGCTAAGCGCTGAAGTCCAGGGCAGCTCAGAGACATGAGACTGCCGGCTCCCCTCCCTCGGTGCCTGAGGAGGCTGGAAGTTGCAAGCGCGGAGGATGCTCCTCGCAGGGCTGAGCAGAGCGGAGCACCAGCTACGGGAAGGTCACCTCGCTCCCTCGCAGATCCGTTGCGGGGGGCTGAGCTCTGAGCCCCGGAGAAGGGGCTTGGACATTCAGGGAGCCAGGAAAGAGGCCTGTCTGGAAAGGGGTCGCGTGGAGAGAAGCATGCGCACCTAGATTCCCCTCCAAGTGCCTTGCAAAGGAAGCCCCGAGCGCCCACAAGGACCCAGAGGTGCAGCTTTCCACCCCTCTCTTCGCCCTTGGTCCGGGACCCGGGTCCTCGCAGCGTGGGCACCCGGCCTTTGGCGCCCGAGAGTTTCGGTTGTCCGGCAGGGCGCACGGCCTCCCCGCCCGTTCCCTGTGCCAAGTCTGGCCCGGGCAGAGTTTGGGAAATGCCGTGGACCCCCCTCCACGCTCCACCAGCGCCCCGCGGGATGCGTGGGCAGAGAAGCGCTGGGGAAGACTGGCCGGCCGCGGGACGCACAGGGTGCAGGGGCCAGGGTGCTGGATGCGGGGAGAGAGGTGCGGAGGGGAGCGCGCTGCTCACCGGTAAAGGCCCCCACTGCCTTCGTGATGTCCTCAGCGTTGAGAAAGTCTGTCATCGACATCCTGCAACTGTTTGAGCTGGCAGAGCAAGTGCGAAAAGATTAAAAAGTGCTTTTCTCATCGTTTCTGCTCATATGACCTGCGCTGCAGTGCCGCGCGCCGGGCGCACGCCCGCCGGCCTGGCGCAGAGCCAGGGGGCGCGGGGCTCTGCGCGCAGCCAGAGCAGCTCAGTCCAGCCGCGCCGCCGAGCTGCGCGGTCCGGGCCGGCGGGCTGGCGAGCCGTCGCGCTGCCGCTGCCGTCCCGCCCCGCCGGGGGGCCTTGGGATCCCAGGGGCTGCGACCAGGGCGCCAGGGGAAGGGGCAACCTCTGGAATTGGGCGGGCGAGCCGTCGCGCTGCCGCTGCCGTCCCGCCCCGCCGGGGGGCCTTGGGATCCCAGGGGCTGCGACCAGGGCGCCAGGGGAAGGGGCAACCTCTGGAATTTACCGGGCGCCCGAGTCCCCAGCTGGGTCTGGAGGGTTCTCCTGCCGTCAAGGGCACGCAGAAGGCGCCGGCCTGGTGCGGCGCAGGGTCTCGGATCAGCGCACCTCCGAGGTTGTCCCGCCGCTTCCGGGAGGATACCGAGGGTGTAGGAGGCCTACACCCTCGTGGGCCCCTTGGCCCTGCTCCCGTTCTCTCTCCACTCCTACCTCAGCCTCCGCTCTGTCTCTCCTGGATGCAAATTTATGCTGCAGAATCTGAGCGCTGAGGTCTCGAAACCTGACCCACTGGACGGGGTGGCATGGATAGGCCGGTGCTGCTAGGGTCCTCAGCGGGTGCCCCATCCCACATCTGGCCAGGGGAGCACACACGGAAACCGAATTTTGTTTTCCGTAGTCTGACTTTTCAAAGAACCCTTCTCAGATCCCCACTAACTACTTGCTTTCCTGGTCTCCTGGGCCAAGGAGAGTATAGTGGGGGTCCAGACTCCTGCCCCCATAAACCAACGTGGATGGGGGGTGGGGGGGAGGGAGAGGCTACTTGGAGTCTCTGTACACCCTCCGCCCACTTGGAGACCAGAAGGCCTATGCCTGGGGAGAGGGTGGCACCCTCAGACTACACTTTCTAGACAACCGAAGCAGGTTTTATGTCCTGAATTTCATCTCTGGGAAATGTGACACTTCCTAATCTTTATGCAGCCAGAGACCAGTTGCATTCTTTCCCACGGTCTCCAAAGGATTCAGGCTGCACCCAGCTGTCTTGAAAGTGTGCAGAGCACTGGACGGGGAGTCAGGAGGCCTGGGTTCTAGATCTGGGGCTGCACTAAGTCCCCATGTGACCTTGGGTTGTGACCTGCCCCATCTCTGGGCCTCAGTCTCCCTCTGCTGTGTTGATGGTATGGGAGGTCCCTTGTGGCGGGATCTTGAGACTCCAACTTAAGGTGTGGGCAGGTGTGGGTGGGCTGAGATGGTGGTCCTTGATGGGGGCGCTGGGGAGAGCAGCCCAGCTGCCGTGTAGCTCAAGTTCCCTCGCACTCGCTGCTGTCAACACTGTCTCCCTCAGCTCGGCCCTGGAAGGCTGCCCTTCTCGGAAACCTTAGGATGCCGCTGGCTCCAGCTGGCCCCCTCCCTGTGAGTCAGCTCCCTCAGGTGACAGCCCACCAGCTGGCTTCCAAGGCTCCGAGGCTGCAGCTCCCAACCTGATCTCTTGCAGTGTGAGGCCTTCCCCGGACCCCTCAGCTGCCCCTGCTGCCCCTGCCCCCAGCTGGGCTGTTAACTTGGAGATGCTGGGCTTCTGTGCTATCATTTCAACCCCCAGGCTCAGCTCACTCCAGGGACCTAGTTGGAGAATCTGCTTCCCCAGCTGAAGGATCCTTATGCTATGCTAGTGGGGAAACTGAGGCCAGAGGGAGTCAGTGAATCGCCTAAAAACACACAGCAAGGCAGTGGCTCAGAGAGGCCCGGGTGTTCAGCGACCCCCTCCATGGAGCTCCTCCAGTGCTCAGGACCCAGCCTAGTCAAGTCCCACATGTCTGAGCCAGAGACCGGCTCCCGCAGAGCCCGCAAACACTGACCCCTGTGGCAGAGGCTGGAACATCAGTAGAGGCCCCGTCCTCCCTCGTTCCTCCATCTCTCCTGCCGCAGAAGCTTCCTATCAAATTGACACCCTCTCTGGGCTGAAGTCCACCCAGCCAGAACATCAGATGATGCCATTAGGTCAGCCCATCAGCCCTCCTACCCCTTCCTCCTGCCTCCTCTGCCCAGGCAGGGGCCTCCTCACCTGAACCCACAGATGTCTGCCTCCACCCATCTCGTCCTATAGGTGGGGAACCCGAGACTTAGCGGGGGGAGGGATTTGTTTCGGGTCACACCAGGAGTTAGGATGGAGACCCCAGTAACTGTACTCTCAGCCCCAGACTCCACAGCTGCCCGCCTCTCAGCATCCACCCGCACCCCAGCCTGTGTTACTGGGGGAAGGGGACGTGTGGCTGTCCCTTCCAGCTGGGCTCCTCCCCACTGCATACCTCCACCGCCCCCCCAACCCCAGTAGCTGCCACTCACCTCGGGTGGCGGTGGAGGGCTGGAACCTGCGCTGAAGGGCTGGCCCAGTGGGAGGTCCCGTCAGGAAGTGAGCCTAGCGGTAGGACGGCCACCTATATAAGCTTCTGCTCTGGCTATTTTGGGACGTGGTACTCCCCTCTGCCCCCAGCCCCCTCCCCTTCCGGTGTCAGGTACTCCCCAGCCATGGTGCTGGGTGTCTGTATCACATTCACCCTCCCTGGGCCCCTCGAGCCAGGCCTATTAATAACCCTTGGTCCCTGACTCCCTCCAGCACCCAAAATTGAGGCTCAGGCAGGGCTCTCCTCTTCCACGAAGGCTTCTGTGACCACTCGCGATGGCAGTAACATCTCCAGCCTCCAAAAGCCTACAAGGAAAGGAAGAGAAAAAGCAAGCAGATGGATGGAACAGGAATTGTCTTCCATGCACGGAGCTGGGCTAGGTTCCTATTCCTACACCATCTTCTAACTACAGCCTTGCAGTGCAGGCCTGGTCCCTCTTTCGTGGGTGAGGAAACAGAGATGTTAGGGGTTCCGTGATTGACTACTCAAAGCTATGGACCCGGAGCTGCGAATGGACCCAGCATTTTCACAAGATGACCTAGTGCCTCCCAGAAACACACGGTCTGCATGTTCTCTAACAAATTCCTTGCTCTCTTTGCATCTCAGTCTCTCCATCTGTAAAATGAGCTCAAACAGGGGTAAACTTGGCTCTATGGATGGACTGCGGGACTAAGAACCCTCTGAAACTATATTCCCAAAATCACGTGCAAGAGCTCTTTCGTGAAGAGAATGGCCACAGCTTTCATGAGACTGGGTCTCTGGGGTGATCTGTCTTGGACTGGAGATGACCATCCAAGGGGTGTGTTTTGGAAAGCATGAGGGAATGAATGAATTTAACACATATTTACTGAGCATCTACTATGAACACCATGAAAACTTCCTCTTCTCGTCCCCAGCCTTAAAAAGTAATTCCAGGGCTTCCCTGGTGGCGCGATGGTTGAGAGTCCGCCTGCCGATGCAGGGGACACGGGTTCGTGCCCCGGTCCGGGAGGATCCCACGTGCCGCGGAGCGGCTGGGCCCGTGAGCCATGGCCGCTGAGCCTGCGCGTCCGGAGCCTGTGCTCCGCAACGGGAGAGGCCGCAGCAG